CGATGGCATGCATGTCCTGATGTCCATGCGTAATGAAAAACAACTAGCCAAATACACGGTGAAAACGCGCACCAATTGTACGAAATGTGTTTTCTTTCCTTGGAACTCCGGCATGTCATTTCATACGTGAATAAATTCTGCTTTCAAACCACGTCCACTACTACCTATTAATTAATTGGACATGTTTAAATATTTTTTTGCTTAATTACAGTGAAAAATGATCATTTTGAATAAATAAATGTTTATTATATATTCAAAAGACAAAACCAAAGTTCACGAGTCAATTTCTCCAGAAAAATCAACCTTGCTTTTGAGTAATCCATCCATCCAACTTCTTTTCAATCGACCAATAAATCAAACACGGTTTGAACGTGTAATATGTACATACTCATGACACTTTCTGCTATACATGCATGACCCCCACAAGACCAGTTACGTGCTACGTGGAATTGGTACGATGAAACCTAGCTAGGTAGGTAGCCGATAATAAGATTAAACTTGTCTTGTTGTTGAGATTGCAAGAGAGTTTGAAGAGGGACATATGCTGCCTTGTAGCTTGGTGTGGAAGAATGAAAAGAAAGTACAGCCGCAAAACATCATTGCAAATGTGTGTCTCGTTTTTAACCTGCCACAAATTTTGCATTCACAAATGATTGAAAATTGATGCCAAGATCATCTCTTTTGATGACAATTTTCGTATTGTAATTGAATAAAATTGAAAAATGAGACCTACTGGACTCAAATTCCACAATCACTCATGCTCAAAACATCACTACTGTAGTAACTTCCAAGAAGCAGCATGTTTCAACACAATATTAATAAATATATTAAATTTAAATTAATGTAGTTTAACTGTACCGAATTTTTTTTTTTTTGAATTTTTTGTTTGTCTTGGTCCATGTTTATGATCTTACTTTTATTTTGGTCCTGTGATTTTTAGCCTTGTATTCTGCAAAGTTTTCTTTGTTTTTTTCATTTCGGTTCTTATATTATATTTTTATTTTTATTTTTTAAAATTTAAAATTATTCTTATTGTGTTTATTTTTATTGTTTTATTTTAATTTTCCTTAAAATATTTTATTAACTTATTGAAAATAGTCTCTTTGATTTGATTTTAATACATTATTGGAATAAATTAGCATGTTTGTTTATTTAAATAATTTTTCTGTTTAGTGAATAAATAATCTGAATTTTTTTTTTTTTTTTGAGAAATAGTTATATTTTGGAGAGTAAGTGAAAATATTATATAAGCTTTGATATCAAATATGAATATTGAAGAATAAAAAAACCAAAGACCAAAAGAAGAACTAAATTAAACATTTTATTTCTACATATAGATAATATAATCGCCAAAATTTTACTGTTCCTTAACCTTCTTTTTTAGCTTCTAGCTAAAATTTTTTTTCTATTCTAGGCCTTGTTATGTGATCCTTATTTTATTTTGATCACTAAATTAAGTTTTGTTATATGTGATTTTTGCCCTTATTTTTTTGGCTTTTAGTAAAAAAAAAAAAATCATTTTGGTTTGTGTTCTATAATGTTTTTTTTTTGTCATTAAAATTTTATCATTTTATATGTATATAGAATATCTACTAGGGGTGTTCGTTCGGTAATTCGATTCGGTTTCGAAATTTTTAGATCGAGTTTTCGGTTAATAGAATTGTCCAAAAAAATAAACGAAACCGAACCGAATTATTATTCGATTTTTCGGTTCGGTTTCGAAATATACCGATTTTTCTATTCGGTAATTCGATTTTCACTTGTAATTAATACTCAAGATTTTTTTATTTTCTTATATTTGTTTCGATAAAATATTTTACAATTAAATTGGTAAACGTAAAATATTGTATGGTCAATGTTTAAATTTAGTTCATTTATTGAAGAACATTTTCAACTCTTGAAGTTTTATAAAATAAATGATAAATTAATCCCTCTATTTTTTATAAACAAATTTAGTCTCTATATTTTTACAATTTATTTTGATTTTTTGTTTTAAGAAATAAAAAAAATAAAAAAAATGAAATAATTGATGAGAAAAGTTTGAATTTTTTAAAATAAATTAATATTAATTTAAGCATGATCAACATTGATTAGTGAAGTAGTATATAATTTACTTCAATGTCATAAAAAAGTTTTTGAACAGGAATCCACTTAAGATACCATTCAACTATTTCAATCACAACAACATTCACCGCCGTTAGCACCACCACCACACTACCACTGCCACCTCATCACCACAATATCATTATTGTTGTACTATAATCATATTTTTCACATTATTACTTAACAAACACTAGTAAATATTTTGCACAAAACAAATGCCTCCGATTACATTGGCTTCAAATAAAATCCATAATGTCCATTGGAATAAGGAATGTTAAGTAGCATGATAAAATCCATCTATGAAATTAAAGAATCAATGTTCCATTTTCTTGAAGGGGCGACTAGGCGAGGCAAATAGAATGGAAATAACATCCATATATACGACCACCTCTACGCTCAAGCAAATTAATACGGGATTCTCCAATTTCAACCTTTTTCTATCACCTTTTAATCAAATAGAACAAAAAAAAAAATTACTCTATTCCACTAGCTTTTAAACCTCAAACCAAGCATGTAAAAGTATCATTATTCCCAAGCATATCATGCGAGCTAAGTCGACTGACTCGCATGCGTAGACCAGACAGAAAGAACATTGGCAATAGAATCCCATAAATCTATTTAGAGACATCTATTATATTCATAACTTTTACAACTCGGAGAAATAGAGTAAAAGTAACATAATTAGACAACAAGCTCAACTAAGATGATCCTAATGCGATTTGGAATTGGGAATTTGGGGTTAATTTTAGGTTTGGAGTTTGAACTTTGGTCTTCGAATTTCTAGTGTGGCCATGTGGTGTGAGGGAGAGGGCCGAGGTTGTGATTGTGAGGGGCGAGGGCCGATGCTTGTGAGAGTGAGGTGAGGCCGTGAGGGTGACTCGGACCGGGTGAGGTTTGACTCCGTCGTAAAGGGCCGAGGGCATGAGAGACTCTCGAGTCTTGAGAACATGAGGTCCGACCATCCGAGAGTGAGGAGCAGAGGTCCAAAGGAGGCTCGGAGAGGACCGAGGAGTGAGGAGATCGAGGAAGAAGGAACCGAGGTCCGAGCAAGTGAGGAAGACGAACCGACTAAAAGGAACTTGTGGTTTTAGGTTTGTGAATTCGGAAATGAGTGAAATGACGTCATTTCACTCATGAATTTTTTAAAAAAAATTAATAATTCAGTTATTCAATTAATCTGTTTTTCAAAAAAACAAAACCAAAATCGAATCGATATATAACCAAAATCGAAAACCGATTATATATCGATTCGATTTTTTTTAATTTCTATAAAAAAACCACACCGAAATTGATATTTTGGTACGATTCGGTTAAGTTTTTTGGTTTTTATCAAATAATGAACACTCCTACTCTTTGCCATTCTATGTCACATCAAGCTAAAATAGAGTTTTTCATGTCCATTTGCTTATTTCGACACAATATTTCTTCTTCTTCTTCTTTTCTTTTTATCCGAGTAATATCTAATAAGTTATCAAAAGAAAAAAATTATAGATAAAAAAAAAAAAAACAGATGATAAAAATTATGACCATTCAAAATTTAAAAAGCTGCCATATTATTATTTTAATTATTAATTGTTATAGATGTTTCTAATAAAATATCTAATTGTATCAAACAATATTTAATTAGACATACTATATTGCTCAACTTTACATATTTTTCTTTTGAATTTTTTTGTATGATCCTTTTAAATAATTATTTGACAAATAATATTTTTTATTGCAGTTATTCTTTGTAATTTTTTTTGTATTATTATTTAATAAAAAATCAATCTGAAATCTTTAATTTTTCATTCTTATAAAATAGATTTACCTAAAAAAAATTGAAATAAGTCATTTATGCATTATTTTAAACTGTTTTATTATCGTCATTATATGAATTGTAGTTAAAACTTTTTATTATATATAGTTGAAGAAAACACGAGAAACCTGTATAGCTTACTCTGCAGTAACGCAGGAGATGCATGCTAGTACGTAACAGCTATAATGTGTATAAGATATTCAACACCAACGCGTGACAGCTAAGGCAAATTTATGTACTTGTTCAAGTTGATCAGGACCTGTTTCCATTATTAATCTAGGAACTTTAAGCACTTTTAAAATGCCTTTGGGCCGATTGTTCGGTATGATTAGACCTGCATAAATGTATTAAAAAAAAAAAAAGGTTTGATGCGTTGATGGGACACTTCTACGTATTCAATCTCTAAACAATTTGAATCCTTAGTCCCTCAAGTTGTCTCCCTTGCCGCTAGCTGTGAAGAAACTGGCAATTTGACTGGGAACAAAATCACAATTTGACCCATTAATTAGTTTGAACAGGTCGAAAAACCCCCAGTCTTCTAAGTTAACGTAGGTTTGAATGTCTATCCTTTTCAGCTTAAAGTATAGAACAGATGTTAGATTTTTCGTTTGGAATTGAGTTATGTATATGACAAGTTCAAAAGACAACAGTTAATTGTACGAGAAAATTATTTAAGGAAAGAAAAGAAACTCTTTGTGAAAGAGTTGACAAGGAAAAAACCCCCCAAATCAATTTGATCAGGTCAAAAAGGACGTGTTTGGTGGTCAAAAATTCTTCATGAAGGTTTACAACAATTTTCATTTCCAATACATACACTACAAGATTGTGATATTTAATTATTCCCATGAGCTTGTAGTTCTAACTGATATAATTTTTTTTTTGGTAAGAATCTTTGTGTTTAAGCCTCTTCTTTATAAAATATAAAAAATATGTATTAATAATAATAGAGGAATGATTAAGAGAAGAATATTCTGTGAATTATCTAGTTACAATGAACAAAAAAAAAAAAAAAATTGTATATGTTGAATTTACTATTAAAAATTACAAAATTGTCGAGGAAAATGAAGAATTGAATATAATAACGCAAATCTTGAGTGTTTCAAAATGACCGTTTTAGATTTTTGAAATCTACTGAGTCAATGCATTCCAATCCAGCTCTGTAAGGATTCATCAGTTTCAAAAGTTCTGTTGCTTTCTCCTTTGTCTCATTTCCACAACCAAGCTGTAAGAGTAACACTAGCTTCTGAAATACACCTAATTGAAGAGCCTCCACTAGGACATTTTCTTCATGTTTCTTTTCGTACTTGCTGAGCTTCCAAATGGCGGAAACTGAAAATTGGGTTGCCAATTCTGATACCCTTAAAATCTTCTTCACCAATACTGGACATGTTAGAGCATTACTATATGCCTCTTCTCTTCCTTCTTCGCAATCACAAAGTCTATCAAAGACACCTAATGCTCTCTCATTTATGCTCCTCTCTGAGTCTACAGTAACTTCTAATAACAAAGGAACCAAACCCATCTTGACTAATTCCGATTTGATGTCTCCGGTAGTGGAAGAAGAGGATGACACGAGATAGAATATTACCATAAGAGAAGCTTTGGTGATTGTAGGGCAAATTGGGTCTTTAACGAACCTAAATAGTACTCCATTCACCTCTTCAATGGTTGCAAATGCTTCTACGTGTTTTTGGTCTAAAGAAAGAAGTTCTTCCAATGCAATCATGGAGTCTTGCTTCGCCGAAAGATCTCTACATTTCAAGAACCACACCAAGCAGCGTAAAGAATCTTGGGATCCTAAATGCGCTTGTGCTTCGTCGTCAAGTGAATGTTTGAAAATGGGAAACATCCAATTCATGCCAGATAATATCTCCTCCAAAATATTAGCATTTCTTTCAAAAGAATCTTTAGCAAATGCATCAAATGCAGCTGCAAACGCACTAGTTGCTCCATTCGCTACGACGCAACGCCTATTACGCTCGCTTTCACCACCCCATTTCTTGATTTTCTGCACCAATTGCAGGCACTCTAGCCCATCCAAACGCTTCACCGAATCCTCCAAACTGAAAAGAACCTCCGAGACCTGAATTCCTGAAACCGGAACTCTAGGTGTTGGGATTCGTTCGACGCCATACTTCCGATTCGCCACACCCCAATCTTGAATCATTTTCCTAAGACTATGATTAGGAATCTGATCAAAACTCCTTAGCACTTGGTTCGTCACAGGGCAAGTAAAATTCCCACCTTCGAGCCACCTTTCGATGCTCTCTCGATCATATGTCATCCCAGAAGACAATGTCACCGGATCTTTCATAAGATCAAGAGATATTGGGCAAAGAAACTGGTTTGGTATCACCAACTCCTCGCATTTTTTCAGCTTTTCCTGAGCTGTTTTCTTCCTTCTCCAACCAAAAACCATTTTTCTTAGCTTGCAAAGATGTGAAGTTCGTTGTCCTTGATGTTTTAGGTATTGATCAAAAGATGCAAAGGGTTTTTATTGTTAATGAAAAAATTATGGTATGGAGTTTGGTTTGGTTTGGTTTGGTTTTTATAAGCAAAGAAACACGGTATATATGCGCTAAAAGTGTAGCTTTCAAGCCGCGTTTAAAGTTTGTTTATTCCTTCAAAGAGAACGAGAGAAAAAGAGAAGCGTTCAAATTGACGAATAAGAAAAGAAAACCGAAGTTAGTAGTAATATTTGTTGAAATTAGGTTTTTTTTTTAATGGATTTTTGAATATTGAACGTTGAATGTTTGAAAGACGATGGAGACCATAGTTTGTCGTTTTGACGCGGCTATATATTAAGATTCTCTTTTTTCCTTCAATAAGATTTTGCCACGTTTCCTCGTTTACTAATTTCTTTTATTTTGAGATGGAAAAGAAATACAAATCAATGCGGTCTTAATTGCCCTAGTGATTTATGATGACTAGAAGATTTTTTTTAAAAAAAAATGTTATTTGATTAAGGTTTTTAAACTATTAATTGTTAATTGATTTGCAGAACAAAAACAATAATTTCGTTTTGATGATTTTACAAGTTAGTCTTCTAGCTAGGCTTTAGAAAATCATAAGTTAGTTATAATTGAATATTAATTCTTTTTGAAATTTCAAATTACTTCCTTTTAATGTATTTTTAATTTTATTTGTGGTATGTGAGAGTGGACAATTTTATTTAAATAAAGGATATTTTAAGGGAAAAATCAAATTATTATGAAAAACCAATAGAATGACCAAGTTACAAACAAATATAAAATATATATATTTAATGAGAAAATTATAAATTAGTCCATTTGGTTTCAAAAAATGAATAAATTAGTCCTCTTTTATTTTAAAAACGAGTTATTTATCTCTTTAACCAATATCGATTATGATTAATTTAATATTATTTTTATTTTATAAACTGTCATCTTTTCTCATCAATTTTTCATAATTTTCTATACATTTTTTATTTTTCCTATTTCTTAAAATAATAAATCAAAAAAAGAGCAAAAAGGACTAAGTTGCAAATAGATTTAAAAATATGAAGATTAAATAATTAGTTTTTAAAATAAAAGGTACCAATTAATTCATTTCTTAAAACAAAAGGAATTAATTTATTATTTATCAATATTTAATATTAGATTTAAAAGAATCAATTAAGAGATTAAATAATAATTACTAATAAATTAAAACGAGTGAGGTTTTTGAATAATGATAATATTGTTCACCTTTTCAATAATGATAAAGCATTAGTTAGGATAATTGTTTTCTAAGCAACAAGCCAGGGTTCGACTCTATGCAGGCGCATTTATGCGTGTTTCTGTTTCTCTGGGGGGCTTTTTTTTTTTTTTTTTCCTGGGTTTACTTAATACTCTAAAACACTTTATCGTGTACGCATTTGTGCGTGTTTCTCCGGCTGCCTTTTTTTTTTTTTTCGAGTTTACTTAATACTCTAAAACACTTTATTGTGTGTGTGTGTTTTTTTTTTTTTTCGCCTCCTCACCCGACCTTTCTTCTACTTTTTACAAGCGTGGTTTTTTTTTTTTTAAGTATTTTAGTTTCACTGGTTCCTATAGCAAGTGTTTTTTTTTTTTCAAGGTTAGTTTCAATATACATGTCCCCACCCCCGTCCTTTTTTCCTTTTTTTTCGAGTTTATCAATTTAGGTTATTTATTATTTAATTTTAAAAAGATTTCAGGTTTGTTTTATTTTGATCTCTAAAATTTTAAAATAAAAATTTTAGTCCCCTAATCGACGCACTACACATGATTTTTTTTTCTTTGCTTTTTCTTCATCAATTTATGTTTTTTTATTTAATTAGGTGTTAAAATTTTAAAAAAGTAATTTTTATTTTTTTCATCAATTTGGGTTCTTTTTTTTTTTGTATTTAATTAGGTGTTAAAATTTTGAAAAATCAATCATTATTATTATTTTTTACACAAATTGACTATTATATAATATATACGATATTTTTTACATTTATATGTTTTTTTTGTTTTTTTCAATCAATTTATGTTTTTTTTTATTTAATTAAGTGTTAAAATTTTGAAAAATAAATCGTTTTTTTTTCTTTTTACACAAACTAACTATTATATAATATATACGATATTTTTTATATTTATACAATATATTCTTTTTTTATATTTCACTATATATGCCTTTTTTTCCCCTTTGCTTTTTTCCATCAATTTGGGTTTTTTATTTAATTTTTTAAAATTTTCAGATTATTTTATTTTAATACCTAAAATTTTAAAATAAAAATTTTAATTCCTCAACCGATGCACTACACACGTTTTTTTTTCCTTTGTTTTTTTTCCATCAATTTATGTTCTTTTTCTATTTAATTAGGTGTTAAAATTTTAAAAAATCAATTGTTATTCTTTTTTTACACAAAGTGATTATTATATAATATATATGATATTTTTTACATTTATATGATACTCTTTATGATTTTAGAATAAATAAACTACTATTATTGTTTAAAATTGATTTTTTTGATAAAAATTCTCATCAAGTTAATTTTTATTCTTATTTTTTATGTAATTTTATTTATTAACAAATATGACTTATTTTCTCTATGTATGGATTCGAATAATTTTTTTTATACCTGTTTTTATTTGTTTAATTCTTATATAATCAAATTTTAAAAATTGAATATATGTATTTTATTTTCTTATTTTTTATATAATCAAATTTTATTGAAATCAGTTTACTACATTCTATTAACTTCAATATATATTTTACTATTTAATTTTTTAAAAAATATTTTTTATTTTCTTTTTTCTAAATTTTATATTAAAATTTGTTTATTATGGGTTTTCATATATATGCTATCTTTTTATATTTTAAAATTAACATATACTTTAGCTTATATTACTCTTATAATTTAAATTTCATTCTTTGAATTTATCATTTCTTATGAAAATTTTCATTCAATTAATATTTTTTATATAAGATTTTATTTACTAATAAATATAATTTATTTTTCTCTATGTTTGAATTTTAGAATAAAATTTTAAAACATGATTTCTTTTTCTTTTTAAAAAATAAATTGACATGATATATATATCATGAATTCTTACAAATTTTAAATGATAGTTGCATATATATAAATATATAATTATTTTATTCTAAATGGTTAATAGTATATTTCAAATAATTTATCTCAGTTCATTAGATAAAGTCAAGACGTGAAAAAAAACTATTGAATTGTTGATTTTATTTAAAATTAACTATATATCTTCCAACATAATATAAAAAATTTACCATGAATATTTTTTTGACATTGTAGAACCAATTTATTTGAAATAAAACAATTAAAATAATGTTTTAATGGAACAAACTAATTATTAAAATACAGTTTATCATACTAATTGTATTGATTATTTTGTAAATAATTATATCTAGATCTAATACATATACTTGAAAAAAATAATCTTCTCACCAATATTAAATAAGAATAAGCTTTTATTTTTTCATTCGTTAATTTTTATGCAAGTCTATACATTAATAGTAACTTTATCTTTTTGATACATTCTTATAAAAAAATATATAGTTTTAAAGTATTTATTTTTGAATTCTTAATTAATACTTAAGGTTTAAATTATTGTAAATTTTTATTTAAGAATGCCTAAATAAAAAACAATAAAGCATGTTTTTTTAAGCATAAATTTTATGAAAAACACACAAAAAAATTGTAGTAATTAAATAAAAAATTAATGAAAAAATTATAAATTTTTTAAATGATTTTATTCTATCTCGTTGTAACGTTGTGCGGATAATTTCAAATTTTAATTTTTTCATCAGCATTAAATAAGATTTTTTTTTCTCATTTGTTAATTTTTATATAAGTATATCCAGTAATTATAACTTTATTTTTTGAAATAAAATATTATGAAAATTGTATTATAAAAGTATTTTTAATTCTTGATTAATATTTTAGTTAACATTATTATATTTTTTATTTTAAAATTAATCCATAAAGAAGAATGATTTATTTTTTTAAGAAAAAATTTGTAAAAAAAAAAAAGGAATAAAAAATTATAATTAAAAAATTTTTAAATTATAAAATGATTTTTTCTACCGAACCCGCAGCGTAGTACGGACAAGTGATTAGTATATATCTAAAACTGGTGGAGGGTTTGAACAAGTGAAAATCAATGTTCACCTCCTCACAAATCACTATTCATTCTTTCTTTTTTTTCAAGTTGTTTCACTATACATGCTTTTTTACCATCAATTTAGGTTCTTTGGATATATTCTTATAAAAAAATATATATAATTTTAAAGCATTTGCTTTTGAATTCTTAGTCAATATTATAGATTTAAATCATTATAAGTTTTTATTTAAAAATCCCTAAATAAAGAAGAATAAATCATTTTTTAGGCAGAAAATTTATGAAAAACACATAAAAAAATATTAATAATTAAATAAAAAATTTATAAAATTTTTAAATGATTTTGTTCTATCTACCTGTAGTATTGCATGAATAATTTCAAAAATTAATCTTTTCATCAATACTAAATAAGATTTTTTTTATTTGTTAATTTTTATAAAAGCTTGTCCATTAATTATAAATTTACTTTTTAAAATATAATATTATGCAAATTATATTTTTAAAGGTTTTTAAATTTGTTATTAATATTTTAGTTAAAATTATTAAATTTTTTATTTTAAAATCAATCCATAAAAAGGAATGATTTATATTTTTTTAATCATAAAATTTATAAAAAATATTAAAAACTTAATTAAAAATTTTAAAATTTTAAAATGATGTTTTTTCCACCGGAACCGTAACGTAACACCTTTTTTTTTTTTTTACATTCTTTTGTCCTTTACTTTTTTCTATCAATCTAGGTTCTTTTTTTATTTTTTTTTATTTTGAAGTTATTTCATTTTGGTCTCTAAAATTTTAAAATAAAAATTTTAATCCCCTAGTCGACGCACTAGACATGTCTTTTTTTTTTCATCGATTTATTTTCTTTTTTTTCATTTGTTAATTTTTGTAAAAGTCTATTCATTAATTATAAATTTATTTTTTGGAATACAATATTATGAAAATTATATTTTTAATTTTTTTTAATTCTTGATTAATATTTTTTTAAAATTTATTAAATTTTTTTATTTTAAAATCAATCTATAAAAAAGAAAGATTTATGTTATTTAAACAGAAAATTTATAAAAAAAAAAAAAAAACATTAAAAAAATTAATTTTAAGTTGTTTCACTAAACATGCTTTTTCTTTTTTCCTTTGCTTTTTCCCATCATTGTAGGTTCTTTTTTTTATTTATTTTTTTAATTTTCAAATTGTTTCATTTTGGTCTCTAAAAGTTTAAAATAAAAATTTTAATCTTCTAGTCGATGCACTACACATGCCTTTTTTTTTCCTTTGATTTTTTCCTTTACTTTTTTCCATCAATTTATATTCTTTTTTTTTATTTGTTAATTTTTGTAAAAGTTTGTCCATCAATTATAATTTAATTTTTTAGAATACAATATTATGAAAATTATATGTTTAAAGTTTTTTAATTCTTGATTAATTTTTGTTTTAAAGCTATTACATTTTTTATTTTAAAATCAATTCATTAAGAAGAATGATTTATATTTTTTAAACAAAAAATTATAAAAAAATATTTAAATAATTAATTAAATAAAAAATTATAATTAAAAAATTTTAAAATAATTTTTTTCTACTGGATCCTCTGCACGGGCAAGTGACTATTTTATTACTAAAACTATTGGAGTCTATACATTATACACTAGCTAGATTGATTGAAACTTTCTTTGGCTTTTCAGAGAGAGATTGATTATCTTATAATTGATGCAAAATATAAGGACTATTAAAAATACAACTCTTTTTTTTATATATCTTTTTTTATTCAATTGTAAACCAGAAACATATTTAAAATTTAAAACAAAAAAGCTAATGGTTCGACCAGATGAAAGAAACCTAAAAACATTTTAAGCATGCAAAATACGTATTACTTGATGATGACAGTTTTTCGTGTTCGATGATCAAACAATCCAAGGAAGTGAAACTCCTTCGTACAATAATAGTAAAGAACGTACAAAATCACTAGTTGTCAGGGCATAGAATGCCAAAAAACATTGCTGGATCAGTCACATGATCCACAAAAGCTGGTTTTATTCATAATTAAAAAGACACTATACAAAATGGATAAATTTTCTCCCAAAGAAAAAAATATTATCAGCTCCCCGAATCGGATTGTGGTTTCGTATGAATCAATCAACCCTGATCCTAACCAACAACATCACACGCCAATATCGAATTGGCCTCGCTAGTCACTACTATATCCCTTCGATAATTTCAACATATTAATGCAAACGCCGATTAATTTCACGTCTGAACTGTAAGAGATTCCACCCGTTGTGCAGACGCCAATCTCCCAGTTCAAACTGTTGGCCTATTCCTGTCTGATAAATGGAGAGGAACTCATTTCTGTACTATAAAACGAGTCATCTCCAGTGATTCCATACATGTTATCATTCTTTTCTTCGTCCCACTTGAGGACCTCCCTTATGTACTTGAATGCCTCGTCCACTGAAGTACGTTCCCTAGCTCTAGTCTGCCATACAAACAACTTTTGACCACTAACTGAAGAGTATAACTCCTTGAATTTCACTGCCACATAATAGTAAGCTTGCTGAGCCAGGGATTGACTATTATTATGGGGCCTCAAAGGGCTGAAGTCCTCGAACCACTCACAAGTGGACAAAGGAACCTGGCTGATCTTGTCCCCAAATGCATCGTACTTGTTCAGCAAAAGCACGAAAGGGGTGTCCCTAAAACAAGGGTGCCTGACCAAGCTCTCAAACATGTCTCTGCTGGCAATCATTTTGTTACAAAGAGGACCTGTACCATGGCCCCACATCTGATCATAGTCGCTTAACGCAACGCAGAAGATAATCGCCCTCACATCTTCGAACATTTCCAGCCATTTGCAACCATCACGCAATCCCTTTGAATTTATGCGAATTAGTTGGTACCTGAGGCAATGGGAAATTCCCAGAGAGATGAGAGAAAATTACTCTAAGCAGCAGGGAAGGTAAAAGATGATGCAAAAAAAAAAAAAATGACTTTTACTTCGTCAAGGGAGGTGGACAGTCAAAGTTTTCATTGTATATCTCAGACATGGGGCTTCTATCATCAAATGAGAATTCCATAGAGGCAAGACTGTTATTCTGTGTGACTCCTTCAGCATATAAAACGTCCTTCTCTGAAGGTTCATACTCATTGCTCGATATCTCAATGGCCTGCAAGAAATAATATCATAATACATGACTTTAATATATAACTAAGGAATACAATTGACACAAAGCAAAGCATTGTGTATCTAACTACAATAATTATAACCTCATTCCAAAAATTCCACAAAGGATGAGAGAAGGGGACCGAAAAGGGGAAAAAAAAAAAAAAAAGACATTATATGGACCTACACAAAAAGAACATGGACAGCTTCTAACACTTACAAATAAACAAAGCAAAAGTAGAGATGTCTGAGGCATACCCGATCTAAGAAATAATTGGCAACATCAGGAAGATGATGCAATTCCTCCCTTCTCTTGTACGTTTCCTGAATGGCAGGGTCCTTCCAGACCTCATCCACAATAGGAGCATACTCACGTGTCGCAGCAGGAAAAAATGCATCCAAGTCTCCAGTAGCCATGATATCCAGTAACCAGTCAGAAAAATGCTTGAACCTTTGGTTAATCGAATAGATGCAGTTCTCACTTGATTCAGCTTCTCTCTCACCTGAAATTATTTCATGCTGAACCACTTAACTAAGGTTTATTATGGCCACAGGCACATCTACTTACATGTTATGCATGTTCATATCATTATGAAAGCAACGCTTTCCCTATCATAGATGGTAAATGACTAATCCAATGTCATGCAGGAAATTAAGTACATGGTATACCTACACAGCTCATGGAAACTGAGGGCCTCAAACAGTAACTCTAGTAACCGATATGAAGAATTAAGGTAACTATCATACTGTTTCCAAAGATAAAAAATTCAACTTGAAAAGAGCAAATCGAAGAAAGATGGTTAAAATTTCTTTTGAATCGTGGCCATAGGGAGATAAAGAATTACAAATTCTCTTAATGGAATATAGAGAAGCAATGATCAACTTAGTCGCAGTAACATACTTGAACTAGAATGTCTTCAACAACCCTAGCAGTCCAGTGTTTAATTGACTGTGAGATGATCTCATATCCATGAACTTTTAGGGTTTAATAGATAATGCGCTGTAAGTTTGAATGAGCCATCACCCAGACGACTCGTCAAAATCTTTTTTAAAAAAATATATATATATATATCACCCAGACAGCTGCGGCTCTCTAAAACTTACTGGCGATCAACACCCCACCCCACCCCCCAACACCATTACTGGTTATAAGGTCTTACTCAACTTAACATTACAAAGGGGGGAAGCACTTTTTCTATAATTCATTCTTGTAACTGTAATATGGATCTCTTTCTGCATTGTAGAATGTTCCTTAACAGAAAAAATATCTAGATGTATCAGGCAGTTGAAGCACAGAGACATATACAGACAAACTCAATTGGATTCTGCAGATTTATTCCACAAGAATATGAATTTTTACCCCTCATATTATTTCCACCATATATTGAAGAGATCATCAATGTATTTCCAAAATTTACAAAGCCATGATGCCTATTATCAAAATTAATATATTTCCATTTTAAAACATCTCAGAAACGTTTATAGCCTAAATGGTCCAGCTGTAAAGGTTCAATCTCATCAGGCCATGGGCTGAATGCTATAGGAGAAAAAAACAGAGAGGAGCAAAAGTATATGTTGCTGAAAAGAGAGCAAGGATGCTTTGTTGGTCCACATGGCAGATTTAAGGCTCACCACTCAAGCAAAAAATGGATATGTCACCATAATAAACTTTTATCCCAAATCCTCACGGAAAAAAATAAAAGAAGCAGTACCCTATTACTTGTTAGAGTAACTTAAGTTTGAGCGACAGCCAAATGCTCTGCCGTACTTTTACCCCAAGATAAAATCATTGATCATGAAAGTCATGAAACTAAATTGAAACCTAACTTCAAGCTATTCTTGGGAACGTATAGGAAATAGGCTCCTCTGGTGGTCCCAGGGTTTTATTTCGCAGCTTTTTCCATTGTAACTAATTATCAACCTAAGTGGCATTTTTGGCATTTCCAAACAAAGGCAATGCGCGAGTGAGAGAGAGAGAGAGACCAAGATCCAAGTACAGATATTAGATAAATCACACAAATAGAAAACATTTGATCATGTTGTTATCTTTATCTGGTTTTCTACATTTGACATGATGGTGAATTCTCTTTACCAACCATCAAGTCTCTTGAACTTAGATATATTCCCTTATGAACACTTCAACTCTAAAAATTTACATAAAAGGTAAGCTATCACAAAGCATCCTGATAGAGCTACCACTACCAAGTGAGACTAAATCTAAGTTCCTAGTCTTCCACGCCATATTTATCATTTTCTATTTTTGTTTCACTCTAGACTTAGTAACAGCACTTTGCTTGGCATTCTCCATGTCATTAGAAACTGATAACCAAGTTCTTTAAGAATAAAAGCACTGCCTCTAATAAAGAGCCAATCAGATCTAAATACGCAACAAATAACAAGGCTATAATTGTGAAAGAAACCATCATTTCTGACTTGGCACCTAATAGAACAATTTCTCCCAGCTGATCCAGCACATAATTCCTTTCAAAAATGATGTTCCCTCTCTGAGATGTGAGCAATCATATAATTAGAAAACTCCTGGGTGAAACTATATAACTCTTAAGTGTGTTGATGCCATATTTTCCACTTCACAGTAAAAATTATTAAAAAAAAATAAAAAATCACATCCAGACTGTAAGCATGATTGTTTTCGTTTTCTCACTCCCACAAAGATAAAAGACCTGAACTAGGCGACTTCAAGCCTTTTTACCAAATCATGGAGCCACACTTCTTAACTAGATTCAGCCTTGTTGAGAAGCCTATCTTCAAAATGCTAATCAGTCACATCAATGAACCTATGGGTTCCTCCATTCGCTTTCTCCCAAAGACACCAAGCATGAATTGCCTTTCATCATCCTTTCAATTACACAAGCAGTCTTGCGCTGTAGCAACAAGAGAAGGCCAGTCAATAAAATATTTGCTATAAGTCCTAACTTCCAACTTCATTGGCATCATATTTGTTGCTCCCAGTAAAAACAATCACGTCTAGACTCTTGAGTATGAACTTTTTCATTCTATCTCTCACAGAGTTGAAAGTCCTGAACTGCTATAGTTAACTTTTAAGCCATATTTACCAAATAACTGAGCCACAATCCTTAACTTGCTTCAAGCCAAAGTTGATCAACCTATCTTCCAAAAATTAATCCGTCGCGTCAATGCACCCATGAATTGCCCCAATTACTTTCTTCTAAAGACACCAATCAGGAATGCCTCTTAGTAACTAGCTAATTTGGCAGTTCAAACATTTCTATAAACTAGAAAGAATTAGGTCACTAAAATAGTAGTATTGAGACCTGAAGTACATTCTTCAGAATTGATTGTAGCAGCAATTTTCTCCGCCAAAGCCTCCTCTTCAAACCTCTCTCGCCCTTCAAGCAATATGCTAAGATATCTGTACATATTGCTTTGAATCATGAGTTTGATGTCCTGCAACTCTTCAGGAGAGAACTTATTCCCATACAAAAACTTGCCCTGTTCCATTGAAAGAAGAAATAATATCCAAGTCATCAAGAAAAAAATGATAAGTATTAAGCCAACACCCATCTCCATGCAAAGAATTATTGCAAGTGAAGCAGCAGATCAGAAGAACAATGTGCTAAAGACCATTAGGTTTTGCACCTAATTAACTAAGCAACATATACAAGATGGATATCATCTGTGAGACACCCCAATAGCCAGTTAAAGAATAACCCAAATAAAGATGATTGTTTTCGGTTTTGCACTGATAGCTTATATACTATCTAAAAATTCAAAAGTTAAGCAATAGCCTAAGTACACCAACGACTCAAATTACATGCATACCCGCCCATTAGCTTCCAACAAATGAGAGGAAGTAACAGGGATCAGTTACATGAAAGCGATGAGTATTTGTTTCAAACAAAGATCTAAAGTCAACCGTGTTTGTCATAATAATGACAGCAGCATTAAATGATAAAAATACTAAACAAAACCTAATAAGATGAATTTTTGTGATAAATCAGTCGAAACAAAAGCTATAAAACATGTAAGTACCTGCTTGAAAATGGTACTTGTTCCAGATCCCTCCAACCCAAATAACAGAAGTTTTTGGATTCTTCCTTGTTCCAAATACTCAGGCACAGACCTTCCTGAAAAGGTAGTTGGATCTTCTTTTGGCCCCTTAGGATTTTCAGGTGGTACGGGCAATGAAAACAACGAACAGATGAAACGAGTAGATGCCTGCCTACCAAAAATCAGAAGACAGCTGTATAAAATTCAATTCAAAACCATTGATTCACTTTCAAAGTTAAAACTAACGAGAGCGATATTATACACAATTAAGAGATAACCTTTCCCCATATGTTTCCCTTTATGTTATTTTGGCCTTCTTCCTCATAAGATCCATCATCATATACCCAGAAATGAGTATCCCTGGGGCACTGTACACTTGCGAGCTGAAATGAATGTCAAATTAAGTAATGAGACTAAAGCCCGACCTCAACCAAACTATCACAAACAAAGGGCGCAGCCAATGAAGCATAGGCAAACCTATCATAAAACTGCAAATCACTTAAAGCTATGTGCAAGCGCAACTGTATAGACATCAAATATCAAATTTAAAACAGCATGCCATCAGCTTCCAATACTGTGCCACTTTGGGAATGAACAAGAATTAAAACACCAAGGGCATGATTGCTGGTGCAAAATTCTCCAAATCTTCCAAAAAATTTCGAAGAAAAAGAAAATATTTTTAATAGTTACGAATGATATAACAGTTTTTTGCTTGTCACCAGACATTTCACTCTGTCTTCCCAACACCACACACCCTCCCATCCAAATCTCTGTCCGTCAGTAGCAGAATATCAAAGTAGGACGGCTGATGCCCTAGAAGAGTGAAATTCTTGAAAAAAAAAACACCATCACCACATTCTGCACCAATTGAAAATAAAGGAAAGTCTAGCTCCATTAGGTGAAATGTGTTATCACAGTAGCAAGTATTTGAAGTATTTATCGGAGCAGGTTCTTCCCAGAGGTAGTTCATAGATGACATTCTATTATCACTGCTCTACTTCCACTCACGCACGCTATAATCTCCTTCCTACTTTTTATGAACCTAATCATCTATCTCAGATCAACTTCCTCCCAAGTTGAAAGATTTCTTCCATGTTGAACTTTAGGTCAACTTGATGCAGGAACTTCGCTAAGACTATTCCTTATATCACATTAAACTTCATGCTACAGTATTCAGAAATCATACAAATGATGACTATAATTATGCATTACTAGAAAGACTAATTTCAAACCCTAGGTTCAAATCAATCATGTATAGTATTTGAACATAGGATCTAGACACCTGATTCCCAGCAAAAGCCTAGGCCTTCTAACTTGGTTTTGCCACAATTACTAAATCGTTTAGGATCATTTGTACACAATCATGACAAAATGACATGCAAAAACAAAGATATAAAGATACCTTCAACACTTTGAGCTCAATCTTGGTAATTTCACGGCCATTAATATAAACCTTCGTATTTCCATTACTAGCATCCAGCCGAAGCTTGCCACCAACATTCAATTTGGAACTAATTATCCTATCCGGTTTCTCTCCCTCCTGAAATCCAATGAACAAAAGCAATTAAAACAACACTAACATAACAAGAAACCGATTTCAAAACCCAAATAAACTTTAACATTCTTTCCTTCACCTTCCCCCAAAATCCCGAATCCTTATCATACCAATACTTCCCAGGCTTTAACTTCTGCGGCGGCAACGCACACCCCAAAACCTCAGCCAATTCATCTTGTCTCAACTGCCTCCCATTCACAATCAACTGCTCTGGCCTCAGCTGATTAGCAGCACACTCCTTCTCCGCCTTCATTATCTGCCTGACCTCCAAAGGACTACAAACTCTCGCCAAAATCCTCGAACACTTCCCTAAACTCGACCTCTTCGATTCCTCTATTGGTTTCCCAATACAACTGACACATTTCCTCCCTTCTGGCATTGATCCCATCGCTTTTAACAAACAATTACTGCAATACCTCTTCTCACAAGCCAAACAAGATTCCCTCTCCTTCAATCTATTCTTCTTACCACACCTACTACAAACTCCGCCCTTCCTCTTCACTCCTTTTTTCTCTTCCTTCCTTGTCGTTGTCATGTCAGCGGCAGCCGCGCTGGATTGAGTGGAGGAATAGCCATCTTCGTCGTCTTCTCCTTCCTCAGTCTCCGAATCTTTCGGCGTATTAAACGTAACAACACTCCCTCGCCTTCCTTCATTTCTTCCACTAATTCCCTCCTCTTCTTTTTCAGAATTTCCTTCCTCTACTTCCACTCTTGCTGGATAAAATCTTCTAGCGTTTCCGTTATGGTTGCTAAATCTGGTGAATCTTGAAACTGGAGAAGCAACTGGAATGCTTGACCTTGATCTTGATTCTTCGGTAGAAGCGAGAGAGGAAGTCCGAATTGAGAGTGAATTGAGATTTAACGGATCGATGCGAGGAATTTCGAAAGCAACGGGAGGACCTTCGTATTCGATTGCGATTGAGTAATCGAGATGATCTTCGTCCGGCAATGGTGCTCCTGCTGGTAACATCTTCCTTAACACTTCTTCCCACGAGTTTTCTTCTCCTCCTTCAGGTTCTATCGTCGTTGCCATTAAAGTTTTTGTTTGGTTGGTTGCTGGGAAAATGGGAAAAAGTGATGAAAAGTGAGGAAAAGTTGAGGAGAAAAGGAGTATTTGGTGAGATAGCAAGTGTCTGTACAGTCGAAGAAGAGTCAAAGGGGAGCTGGCCGGTGTTTTGGAGAGAGGGAGTAGACGGAGTTGTGAGTAACGGAAGAAGAAGTCAAGTCAGTTGGTGGTTTGTGATTCCGTTAGATTTGACGTAATTAACGATGGATAAGTTAGAATTATTTTTGCGCCATGTATGAAGAAATCTTCCAGCTATGTTAAAGATTTCAAATCAGTATCCGAATCACAAATTCTGGCTGTTTTACTATCCAATTTTCATGAACTTAACAATTAAATCCCTCGCATTTCATTAATAAATCAATAGAATTCCTATATTCTAACCTACTAGAAGCATTCCTTATACGAGAAATTTTATAATGCTCAAAGAGTAATTAGTGATATGTATAATAATAATCTTATGGATTCACTTAGAGAAGAAATATAGACATATAAAATTATATCCGAATCTATAAAAAAGGATAAGAAGATTTTCACGTTTGTTCAATTTTCTTCTTTTTTATGTCTACCTCTCTCATCTAAGTGAGTTCATGAAGTAACTACTATGCATATTACTAGTAAATTATTGAGTATTATAAAATTTCTTTTCTTATACTATTGGCTAGTAGCACAAAATCACTATTTTTCACAATAATTTCAAACTCCCTTACGTTTCATAACATCCTCACTTGTTAAAATTGCATATTGTTTTCTTCCAAACCTCTCACTGTGACGTGCATACGGTATCCAAGCGTTTGGTACAATCTTGCAAGCAAAAAAGACTAAAATTGGAAGATTAGTAGTTTAAGAGCTGGTTTGATATTGCATCATAATTGGGGTATTGGAATGTAGTTGGCCCAAAGTTTCTAGAAGAGTTGGCAGCGACCGATGGGGACGTAGATAATAGATTTGGTACGATCTAGTGGTAAAAAGTCAAAAGTACTTAAAAGACGGAAGTAATAAACCGCGGAGCGTAAAGGCTCCTTTCAGAAAACATAAACGGACCAAGCACTTGTTTGTCTTTTGCCTTTGTTCTTTTCACTCTACCGTGTCCCAACCCTCTTCCTTGGGTTTATCTAGCGTGCGTGTGGCGTACGAATACTTTAAAATGTTAAATTTTAATGAATTCTTGGTGTTTTGTCCTAAACGATATATTTTTAAAAATATATATATTATCCCATTTTATAAAGTTGTTTCATTTTTTTATACTAAAAAAAAGATATAAATTTTATTTTATTACTCTGAACGAATTGGCATATGATCTATCGTAATGTTATTATCCTAATCTGCTTAAGAATTGATAAAGAAGGATTTAGTTTCAATGCATGAAAGTTAATTTGAAAATATAATTTATTTTAAGATATAGATAGAGAAAGAGATAAAAAGATCAACCATACTACATTCTCGCATGGAAACTAAATTAATTTTCAATTGGTCTTTTTGGTGATTTGGCTGCATAACCCAACTGCGTTCACACTGTTTTTTTCTTCATTGTTGGACCTTCGTGCTGGATGGAAATAGATAAATATGGTGTTTTTCAAGAGAAGATGAGGGGAAGGAAAATGATGGTGTTTTTGGGTTAAGGTGTGGCGTCTCACTAGGGTTTAAAAAGGCTTATATTTGTTTGATGACTTAGATTTCATAGCCTGCAAATTTATTATTCTTTTTGAATAAACGATAATAAAAGTGACAAAATTGAATATATAATTAATGGTAAATGCAAAATACATACCGTGATAAATAAACAAATAAAGAAAAAAAGATGGCATAATTTTAAATGTGCAAAGGAACATAGAAATCTAAATTTATAAGAATATTCAAGCCTCATAATTGGGAGTAGCACCTTCTAATTAACAAACAAACTAAAAGAATAAAGATTGAAACTGTTTAATTACTATTCATTTAGACTTAGGGATATTCTATATGTTAATAATATTTTTTTATGTTTTCTTCGTCTCTTTGTTAAATTGTTATACAAAATCTATTATTTTATATATTTTTTGTTTCAATCATCTGATCTAAATTAATTATTTATGATTGTCCGATTGAACATTGTTTTCTTTTGATCTCAATCATCCATTTAAAAAAACTTAACAATCTCAATCATTAAATCATATAAAATATATAAGTTTATTTTATCCCAAATCTTAGAAAGCCTCCATTCTCCTATTCACCCAACCCTTGTTATATCTAAAAAAAAAAAATCTTTTCTTTTTTCTTATCGATGATTGATAAGGGAATAAAACAAATACGAAGAAAACACTATCCATGGTCTACCTAAAACCAAACGTGAGCATTATCAAATCAAGGTTGAAATTATGTCAATCATTCGCAGAATGGCAAAGCTACAACAAGGATCCAATCTGAAGTAATCATAACATCATAGGTGCATGTATTGATTGTAGAAGGACGATGTAGTGCATTGCCAACATCAAATCTATCGAGTTATCTTTAAAGCATCGTTCAATCCATTAAATATTTACGAAAATGGAAGAGTCAGATATATTAAGACACGTGTTCTTGTTCATGAATTCTAAGTTTTTATATCCAAAATGATCATTATTGATTTGATATCCTTGCATGTGATTGTGAAATATGTCAGAACTCCGTTAGTGACATAAGAAGAAGAGGTACCTGATTTAGATAGGTGTCACCTTGCATGTTAACGCATTGTTTATAAGGATAAACGTGTATTAAATGATATTGCTAGTTACCACACCAAATAGATATTACATGAGTAGTTATGGCAACGAGTCCTTACCCAGCTCATTAAGACAATCTCTTACATTATTTATTAAAAAATATTATATTTATTATTTTATTCATTATTCATTGAAAATTATTTATCTATTTTTTTATCATGTCCATATTTATTATATCATATCTTATTTATAAGTATTTATCCGTTAACTTTTTTCTTTGAATTGAAGACTTTTTTTTAAAAAAAAATTTACTGAATTGTTTTAACTGAAATGATGAAGTTAATTGATATGAAGTTGTTGTTAAAGTAAATTAAGATTTACGAGTTGGACTATCTTACAAACCATTATTTAATTTATTATTTATTTTTATACCAAGTTTTTTTCTTAATTGAAAAAGATAAAAAAAAAAAACTTATAGTAGTTTTTTTCAAGCCATTAACGTTTATTTTTCTTATAAATCCAAAAGGGCACCACAACAATTAAACTTGAAATTTGTTCTAAGATGTTCTGCTAAACCAAAATAAATCCAAAAGCTTTTGCATGTAGGAGAAAAAAGCACCAGAGCACACTTGAGATTGAAAAATGAAGCAAAACGCCAAACAAAACTCTTTGACTTTTTTGGTATGTTTCATCACCACGGACCATTTGGAAGTAAATAAATCGGTTAATAACATCGCTTTATTTATTTATTATTATTATAATTATTTACGTATAATTAATTAAGTAATTGAAGATACTGACCGCGAGTGTAGATAATATCAAAAAATCTCAAGTACAACAGTAATATTACCATGATAATAATGTCCAAAATCCGATAACCGAGTTGTGAATAAATATTATCCACGATAATGTTTAGATTGACTTATCAATAAAAGAAAAAAAAAAAGGCTATTAATCCATGTCAAGAGTAATATTAATAATGAGATTTGTGAAGAATAATTCACAAATTATAATTATAATAATAAAAAAATATAGATATTCATTAGTCAAATTACGTATGTGATTGTTTGGATAAATGTTAAACTGAATGATAAATAATAATAATATAAACGAAACTCGTAGTTAATTACATAAGTGTCTTAAAAATACTATTTGTTTTTTAATATATAAATAATAATAATAATAATATCAACAAAACCATCCGAATGATAAATTACATACTTTTTTTCTTCTTTTTTTTTGTTTATTTTAAAATTTTGTGTCTTAGTGCTTTTTATGTTAATAGGTAAAAGATGAGTATTAATAGGGTAAAAAAAAATACTCATATTCATGAATAAATTGTCCATTAACATAAATAAGTAATACTATTTTATCTATATTTAGCTCATTGTCAATTAAGATATTTTAAAAGAGTAATTAATGTACGGACTGGGTAGGATTACTCATTTTCTACCTTACCCACTACCATCCCTGTACATGACAAAGCACAAATCACAATATAAACAGAAACTGCATGATGAAACACAAATTATAATATACTACAGAACAAGCATCAATTTATGATGAATTAATTCAATAAGTCTAAATTAATTTGGAACCAATGTTCCATAAGTCAAAAAAAAAAATGTATTCAATGATCAAAACTCTAATCAAAGGTCTAAACGAATTTATTAAATGTTCAATTGAATTAATTAATTGAATTTCTAGCCTAAGGAATTTTTATTAAAATAATAGTTCTTAAATCAAGATTTAATGGTTTGGTAAATAATGAATATTTTCTAATTAAATTACTTATGTTATAATTAATTGGATTTTTGAAAGGAATGATAGAAATTGATTTTATTAAGTTAATTGGATTATTTGCATATTTATTATCTTTTATTTTAATTGGATTTTTGAAAGGAATGATAGAAATATGAGTTTTTTTACTAAACAATAAAAATTCAATAAATTATAAAAAATAAAAAATAAGATTGAATTTTTTTTAAAAAAAAGTTATAAGCAGATCATACGAATTTACATGAGTAATTTTTATTACAATTCTCCAACTTTTTAAATATTTAGTTTTCAAAATCAATCTATTTTAAAATTAATTTGATATTACGCATTCGAACATGCAAATACTTTGAGAATCACAGAAAGACTTAACGGATAAATTTATATAATTTTCTTAGGGCTCCCAACAAAATTAAGATCATTCCAAATTATATTTTATTTTTTATAATTTTGTTAATATTTAATATTTTCTATTTCCAAAAGGATACAGCCAAATAAATTAGTTCATGGTAA